GACAAACCGGTCGCAAACGTCGAGCCACACGCAAGGGAATGGGGGCAATAAAATGGAAATTGATTCCACTACGCGGTCTGTGAGCGAGACGACGTGCGGCCAGAGCATCATCATCCACGGCCGCGTTGACCAGTTGCCCAATGGGAGTGGACGGATCACGGGCTGGGCTGGGTTGTGGAGGAGCGAGGGTTTTGTGTGCTGCAGGTTTGATCAAATCGGGTTTGGGAGTTGATCGGTTGTTGTGAGTGGTGGGATTTGAGGGATTGGTTGAGGTGGGATCGGATACTTTATCTGGGGCGAAAACGAAGAGAAAAATGCGTGAGTGCTATGATGATTGTTAAACTTCGCCACGAGAGCAAGTGCATTATCTTAGCTGTGATATGAGCAAATTTCACGTAAAATGGTAGCACAGATGGGTTCGTTTACAGAAATGAAAAAACAAACACTTTTAGTGATTTCCGAGCTAAAAGCATGAGATCGGTCAAATTTCGGTATTATATGAATTTGCCCGTTTACACTTTTTGTATCATTAATGATAACAGTATTATTATTTCAAGAGGGGAAATTCGTGGTGAATATAGCAAATGAAGCGTGAATTGAAAAACTAGGGAGCACTGGGTAGCTGTTTCAACCTGGTTGGGTCTGGTCAGTAGTGCGAATCCATCGACCCAGCTGAAGATCGCGAACCCGGGACTTCACAGGCAGAACACAAACATGCTACGCGCTCGGCCACCCTGCGGATAGCTGATTAAACCCTTTTTTCATTTTCCATTTACACGATATAGCACAATCCATCTTTGCGAGCTTATTGTGATGGATTCGCACTGCTGATAAAACCCAACCATATCTTCATATCTTTTCATTTTACTGTTTTTTATTGAATATACAAAGATACAATTTTCAGGAAGGGGAAGCTGCCAATGAACGTACAATGGGGAAAATCAGGCGGTGGTGGTGGGAGTCGAACACTCGTCCTCCGGGGTGATAATTTGGTGACGTTACCACCAGGCTATCATCGCCTACCAGGTCAAAATAGCTGTCTGGACCAAGATGTGGTGTACAAACATGAACCCCGGGTACGGATGACAGTTTTTATACACCTATGAGACTTACACTATTTTGCGATGGCGTTTGAACACCGGTAGTCTGTACTTCAAACGTTCTCTTAACGGTCCAGTTTCTGTACCTTTTGGCACCATCTGCCGGCAACACATACTCAATTTCGAGCAGACAACCGGACGCGACAGCGGCACCCAAGGCTGGCAAACACCAACCGAACCACTCCTGTATGCGTATGCGGAATTTCGTCCCTAATTCGTCCGTCAGGAGTTAAATTTGTCTATGCTAGATATCACCTCTCTTGCGAGCGCGGGAATTAAGATTTGAGCCGTCTCAACGCTCAAAAATTATGCCCGATCTGCACTCAGTATGAATGATAATCACCCGATGGACAGGGTGGTTAGGACATCGGTGACACGACAGGGCTAAAATGCAACCACAGCAATGAACAAATTTGTGTTCCCACGCGACGGAGGGAGGAGCGAGGCACGAACGAAACTAATCCGAAATGGACAGAAGAATGCAAGCAAAAGGGAGACAATTTACGGGCGAGATTCCGACACAGTGAGTTTTTTCCCCGTTGCATTTTTCACATGAAAGCATTTGTGTGATAGACAAAAATGTTAACAACAAAAAAATCCACTGAACGTACCAAGAATTGAGGCTGCTTTCAAATCCCCGTACCGTTTCCAGTAAGCCCAACACTCGGCGCACACTTTCAAAGGTGAGGTAGCCGGACCTAGGGCGTACCATTGTGCAGAACTGGCTGTGCTACAACCTTCACAACTGGTCGGAGCATTGGGACTGTCCGGGTTCGGGTACAGCACGGAAGGATTGGGTTTGTTATAGTTGGGAATGTAGACCTGTTTGAGATGATGCTCGGCCTCGGCCGCTTTGATCCGCTTCTGTTGAATGTAATGATCCGTTGTTTTCCACATATAGTAAAATTCAATCAGGCTCTGGTGGAGGGCAAACATTTGATTGCAGAAGAGGAGGAATAAATCAGTCAACAGACGTCAACAAAGAATAGAACCAGAGAGAGAGAGAAGTTAAGGTCAACAGTTTATGGCAACCAGGCATCCAGGATTCGTACACATTGTGCCAGTACAAAAGAATAACATTCGAGTCGGGAATAAAATCTGTATGACATTCCATAAACAAGCTCGGGGAAAGACGGGGAGAAGTTCCCGGTCACAGGTGTACAGATGTGCTTGGATCAACACAGACAATAAAAGGATTTTCTCGCAGTTTAGGTAGAATCTAGCAGGCCAGAAAGCGCGGGATTAGCTTGTTGTCAGAGCAGTCACGCAACTGTCGTGAATCAAGGCGAGCTCCGGGAAACCAGAAAAATTAGACAACTGGCACTGTTGAGTCTTCGAAAAACGAGCGGGGGGAGGGGCGAAGTGATGGCTTTAAACATTGAGAAAGTTCTTCATATACAATAACATGCGTTTTTATGCGCTCAGCTATCCAACTTAGGTGCTTTGAGAAGAAGCTCATATGGGCTGTGATAGAAGGCCTCTTTGACTGTATCCGGGCTACAGTCTGTGGGAATGTATGCAGAACAAGCACCATTCATTTGGTTTCTGCTTTTTGACTTTACTTGAGCCTCGGAGTCTCATTGCGTATAATCGGTTGACTACCGGGATCCAGTTCAATAGACCACCCTGGCGCTCAAGACAAGACCAGTGGCCTGCTTGACCAGACACTGATGCGACGGGGTCTCAGGAAAGGCGCAGTTGAAATGCATCTTTTTGATCGGATGGAGACGTCAGTCGGAGTACTGAGCTCGGATCCTGGATGCATGTTCCCGAGAAGCAACACACATCAATCTCTAGACTTTCGAGTGTACCAGCCAAACCTGCTTGTTGTTCTATACGTATTAGAGTTCTTACGTTGAACGAAGCTAGTTTGAAAGCCGAGCGAAGTCGGAGGAATGGAGCGGTCTGCTCTGAATGATAAGGCATTGCTGAAAAAGATGTCAAGGAGGATAGCGGTGAGCCACAACAAGAACCTACGTCAGTGGAACCAATCGACATAGAGTAAACAGCGGGAAATGGATGTCGTGTGGGGGACGAGTGGAAGTTTTGCGTGTAGATTTTGAGAAGAGTTTTGCATGTGTGAGGTTTGAGACATGTATGAATGTATAAGTCCATGGTTAGATTGTGGCCATGGTATTACCCGGTTGCCCATGCCGACGTAGAGGGTTTTCTTAAGGCACCATGGGCGGAGCTTTTGGTTGAAGACACACAAGGCAGTGGGGTGGAGTGGGGAGTTCACGATCCTCTGGGAGCCGATGACCGCCTGACCAGTTTATACGCCTTTCGGATGTGGTCTACTATCCAGGGTACCCAGAGTGCCCCTGAGCTTAATCAAACGGGTTGGTACAGCATATACACTGAGACGTGATACGAATATGGGAGATGTTTTCACTAAGATTATGGCCTAAGGTTACCACAAGTTAAGTTGTAGAAGAAGAGTGGTTTGTATATACCAATACGCTTTAAAGTTGAAATAACGTGGGTATTTTGTTTGGGAGAAACAGCCTATCAGACTTGAGAAACGAGCATCTGATCATTCACAGATCTGATTCACTGCGTTGCAGGTTAGGGAAAGCTGCAGTGGGTTGAGTTAGTCTGCCCGGTTTGGAATGCAACAAACTGGTGCACAGTATGGTTTACTGGAACGACCGATGTGGCAGACGGATGTAAACGGGAGCTGTTGCGCCTCTCAGAATCCTTTGGTTGGGACTAAACTTATGCACCGGTTCAAGATGTCTTCAACATACTCCGGGGACAACTAATGAGTGGAGGAGCTCAAACGGAAAGGCATTTTGACCGATCAAACGCGTAAACCCGATGCTCTTGATGAATTGCCTAACACAAGAAACAGAACTATACACAAAGGGACTTGAGAAACGGTGGGAAGAATAGTCTATGTGTGCAGTGTATGTACCTGAAAAGCAAGACAATCCCCTGCCTGCACTTATATGAGTGTTTCTCGCTCACTTGTTCGATTGCCAGTGTTGGCCACAATCTTTTTAGCAGTCCACCATCGCCTGACAAATACATCACGTGACTGATACACAAACACAGAATATGCATAGGCTAATCGCACTACCGTATAGGTTTTTGAAACAGCCAATGCAATCTGAGAATGATGCACTAGAGGAATTTTGTGCTTCACTCACTGATCGAAGGTGGTAGCGTTAACTAATCATTTTGTTCAAGTGCACAGAAATGCCATGTCAACACTGCAATGTCATTCATTTTGTGAAAGCTCTTGATCTCTCTCTCTCCCTCATTGACCTTGAACCAGTCTAACTATTGCATCACACACACACAGAGCACGATTTCATTCCGAGACCGGATCAATAAACCCGAACATTCACCTATCACATGCTAACTTTACGCCCGTCAATGCAATTGATCGATTGATTATCTATTTCACCAGGCAAAACAACATAATTTCGATCGGCTATACAGTAGAGTACATTGTATACTATCGTTTATACCGCACTAATTTATGTACGCACAGTGCAGTCAAACAATGTTCTAAGTCACACTGCCACATGTTTGAGCTAACTTGTCAGTTTATCTGTTATCAGGCTAAAAAGGAGAGAAAAAACGTATGGCCTTACTGTAGCATTCTGGTTGATTCGGTATCATTCGGATTAGGCAGTTAGAAATGGAATGAATGGGCTCACGGGCCAGTATCAATCGCAGCTTTCACAAGCATTAACCATGCACCAACATGCGGTTGCTGTTTTTTGATTGCCTATTTGAATAACAGAGCAGAATGAAGATTGGAACGCCGAGGGTAGAGTCGGAGTGAAGATAGAGACCGGAGCTACAATAATAATGCTCAGTCATATCACTCACTGTCTCTAACCGCCGGTTATCATGATCTCGGGGTCCCCCGGAAGCTTAACGGGACTTATGACCGAGTTTCCTCGTTACGGCTGTCATCCCCTAGCGGGCGACCGCGATTACCTAAAACTCTGCGCCGAACTTCAACATTGATTGTCCGATTGTCCAAACAGACACATGCAATGCTTCGTAGACATCAATGTGCAAACACCGACAGTCTATCTTTATCCTGTTCCCGTAATGACCAAGTCTCTGCACCGCATAGCAGAACGGGCCGAACTGTCGTAGCATACACTCAACCCCTCACAAACAGCCGGATGCCACGGGAGCGTCACAAATGTCTCAATTTAGAAAACGTCAATCGAGTCTTCTGTGTGCGAACTGACACTTCATCTGTAATGCGTTCACCGGGCGAGATATAGTTACAAAATAACAAAACTTGTCCACTTGCCCTATTACTTCTCAAGTTAGAGTGAGATTGAATACTGAACTGTGACCCACTCTTGTAGCAACATTTTACACTTTGAAGATGTAAAGCACATACCAAACATGGCTACAACAGCACTCAAACTGTCCAAAAAAGCTTGCAACTTACTTGAATCTTCACCAAGTAGCAAAATGTCGTCTGTCAATTCCAGATCAGGTAATCTACTACCTGAGAGTAAATTGATACTACTATCCTTGCACGAGGATAAGGCTGTTTCCAGAATCTTTAACAAAGTTAAAGAGAAAAGGAGAGAAAAAGGATGACCCTATCGAACACCACTTTCCGTGGTGAACTCGGATGAAAAAGTGCCGTAAGCCTGGACTCGACTTCGGCTATTCGTATAAAGGGATCGTGATACTGAAATAAACTTCTCCGAATAGTCTATTTCAATTAACTAAGTGCTTGGTAATTAATGTATGACTGATTGTAACAGCTATATTTAGCACAACAAAACAATTTTAGCGAATTAAATGTCTAGACTGAACGGTTGTAGTTCTGAACAAACGGCCCATCGAGGGCCTAGGTTGGACTATCCTCCTGACGGCTGAAGTTCATATTTATACCTCAGTATGGTGGTCGCCTTATTGATCTGTCTTGTCATGACTCTCTCTCTCTGTTGCCCGACCGACCGAGATCGATTATGCACACAGAACTGTTCATTCTCGTCGAACCCCTACCCGATGATCCACGATGAGAAACCAGGGCCGGGTCCGCGCAGTCCAAAAGCCCACCCCCGCTGAAACCTGCATTCTCATTCGGTAACTTATCCACGAAACACTGTTATCTGCCTGTGAGCGAAGGTGGACATTTTGGAATAATCTGGTGTTAAACAGACCCAGAGTGTCCAACAGGTGACAAGTTACGGCCAAACCATCGACCATATTGTGGAGTTCCCAGTTAAAAAAGATCACTGCATTTGCCTGAATTTACAACGATTTTGTTTGAAAAGGTTGAAAAGGTCTAGTGTGACACATTGATGATAATTTCCCCTCTGCGTTTATGTGATAGTCGTTAAATATTCACTCTTGGAGGAACATTAAAGCAATCGCTAGACCGGAGGCGAGTTTACCATCAATTAACACATCACTTTTGTATCGGTGATTATATTGAGAAACACGTGATGAGCTACTGTTTTCTTACACAGCCGGACGGATTACCTTACCTTTCGAAAATGATGATTCGGACAGTTATCAGTTGTCTAAGTTGACGAGAAGTTGAATCGGTTACGACCCCCTTCCCTCCGCGCGCCCCGGAACTTCAGAGCATGATTACCTGACAGACACAGACACACATTCAGCCGCGACCGAGATGACGGGTTTGAGGGTGTGGGTAGGACTGTATTCTTTCCTGTTTGTTCTCGACCTCATTCGACTAATTAGTTCTGTATGCGGCTTTGATAGCACAAACAAACGTTGGCAAATCCGGGTGTGCCGAAACTCAAAGCTCGGACAACAAGTCCAAATTCAACTGGCCGGATTTCCGCATTTCGACACACTTTCCTTGATCTTCTCTATTTCTGTATTTAGCCTGACAGCTTTCGTATGGCCGCAGCCCCCTTCCTGAAAGTTGACTGTACACTTGTATATTCAATAAATAAAAAGGAAGTAAAAATTCATTTTAT